TATTGAAGCTCAAGAAGGTGAGCCATTTAAACTTGCTTGCCATCCTCCTACTGGATGGCCCAAACCTAAAGTATATTGGCTTATACAGGTAAATTTATAAACTATCTGATTTATGTAAAATGTATGTTTAAAAATTCATTATAAAAATATAATAGAATTCAAATGGTGGTATTCAAAGTATTAACAATAGTAGAATGACACTAGATCCTGAAGGTAATCTATGGTTTTCTAATGTGACTCGATATGACGCTAGTAGTGGCTTTACCTATTCATGTGCAGCATCATCATTCTTCAGGTATGGTAAAATTTTATTTTGAAATTATTGATTTCAGTAAATTGTATGTTATTATATTTATTTTAGGAGTGAATATAAATTAGGTAACCATGTGGAATTGAATGTAATTCAAACTGCAGGGACAGCCTTACAAAATAAATATCCTCCTACTCAACAATATGTCACTAGAAGAAATGAAATAGCGTTATTGAATAAAAGAGTTGAGTTGTATTGTATTTATGGTGGAACGTGAGTAATATAATAATTATCATATTAAAAAGGTTATTTTTATTTATTTATTTTTTTATTATTATTAAGTCCATTACCTGAAACAGTTTGGCTTAAAGATGGTAAACCTATACAATCCAATGAACGAGTTAGCCAAGGAAATTATGGTAAAAGTTTACTTATTCAAAGAGTCAAATTTGAAGATAAAGGAAAGTATACATGTGAAGTTAGCAATGGTGTTGGATCACCTCAATCATACAACATTGAACTTGATGTTATGGGTATAGTATAATATATTAAGTTATATATTAGTGATGGTGTGTATACTAAATTCAAATTAATTAACAGCTGTGCCATTTTTCACCATCACTCCACAAATTGTGGAAAAAGCTGAAGGAGAAACTGCCGTTATTAATTGTGAAGCAAGTGGTAATCCAGAACCTACAATCAAATGGATTCATAATGGTAAACCGTTAAGTGAAGCATCATTCAATTCTAGGCGCTCAGTTACCTCAAATTCAATCACAATTACATCATTGATTAAAAATGATACTGGCAATTATGGTTGTAATGCTACCAATAGTCTTGGATATGTTTACAAAGATGTTTATATTAATGTTTTGGGTAAGTTTTAAGGTATTATTTAACTATATTATTGGAGACAGATTGGTAAGGAAGTATAAAAAAGTTGCCTAAGCGCACTATCATTGTTTTAAACCTTAAAGTGAACATTTTTTTTCTCTCTCTTTCTCTCTCTCTCATTAAAAAAAATTAATTGTCCAAAGAAAAACACTGCTCCTTGCTGTATCAAAGTAATAAAAAAACAACTGTTTAGTGAAATTTAACTAGTTAAAAACAGTTAAAAGTTAAAAACTTTTCTATTTATGTTAATAATTATTTAGCGTTGGCTCCTGAAATCACTGAACCTCCTCATAATGTGGAAACTGTTGATGGTCGGCCTGTTAACCTTGAGTGTAAACATTCTGGTGTTCCAAAGCCAGATGTTAA